AACCCAAAAGGAAGAGATTTTTGCTCACCCAAATCTTTTATACCCACGCGAACTAGAAGCTAAGAGAAAGAAAAACTTTTCATTCTTGAATCAGCAGCAGAGGCGGACAAACAGCAGGAACTTGGAAAAAAAATCACAGTTGAGGTGAACGGATAAGCAGAGCTTCGACGGCGGCTACACGAACGACGTTGCTGGCTTCGGTGGAGGAGGAAGAAGGTAGCTTCAGTTGAGAGGCAAAGCAAAATGTTGGTGCTCTCAAAGCTCTTTCTCTGGTCTAGATCCATCGAGAAAGAAGAAAGAAAGAGTCTAAAGAAATTTGATGAAACCAATGGCAATTTGGTAATTTCGCATGACCAGAAAAATAAAAAAAATTCAACTCTTCTTTTGTACTTTTCCGAATTCGAACTAAAGACCTGATATATGAAATCTTCCTCAGCTGCCACTAGACCAAATCTCTAACTTGCTATATTTATCCCAAAAACTAATTTAAGTAAGTTACCCTATATATATATATATATATTTATTTATTTAGTTTAAATTTTGTTGGGGTTATTACAATTTGTTTGTCCTTCTTACAGCCATAGTGTGTCTTTCAGTTGGCATGTCTTCAAACAAATATAGCCCATCACAACGCTTCCCTACTCCAATCAAGTTCCTCGTACGTAAGTCTTGTATCACACAAAAGTTCTTAATAAATGTTACTGCACAGTCATATTCATCTGTTATTCTAGGAACTGAAAACAAGTTGTAGCTAAAATTAGGAACTTCTAGCACTTTTCTAATTTTTAGCCCATTTGGCATACTAGTTATACCAACACCCGTCACAAGTGTAATGCCCCTATCGGGTGTGTTCACTGGTCTTTGAGGAATACATCGATCTACTTCTTCTAGCTTCCCTTCTTCACAAATTATGTGATCAGTTGCACCTGAATCGATCACCCAAATTTTGTTAGAAAATGATCTACTTGCCATGTTTGTAGTTAGCTGGGTTGCTTGCACGTTTCTTGTTATGTCACAATCACATCCCAAGCATTGTAGAAGCTTTTTGTACTGGTTCATTAATAGTCTTGGTACCAAACTTTCATTAGTGTCTATCATTGTTGCTTTTGGTCCTCCTCTCTTGCCACCCCATGAGCTTTGCCTCTCCTTCTTGTCTCGTCCTTTCTTCCAATCTGGCGGGTAGTCGATCAGTTCATAACACTGATCTTCTGAGTGACCAATCTTTTGGCAATGATTGCACTTTAGTTTCTCCCTTCGTCCACTCCACCTAGCTCTATCATCTTGCTGTCTCATAGATGTTTGCACTTGGAACGCTACAACGTCTTGGACTGCCCTATGCACATTAGAGATTTGTCTCTGCTTTTCATCCTCAGCCACTAGATGATACGCATTGTCTAAGCTGACTTGTGGCTTCATGCTCAAGATTTGGGTTTTAATAGTGGTAAAAGCCTCATCTAGTGCTATAAGAAAATCATAGAGCTGCTCTCTCTCCTTTCTCTAGGAGAGTTCTTTCTAAATATTACATGTGCACCCATCACAGGTGCACCTTGGCCATGGTGAAATTGCTTCTCTTTCATCCCACAGCAATCTCAGCTTTGTATAGAAGGCTGGTACTGAGAGTTTTCTTTCCTTAGCAAAGCTATCTCTCGTCAAAGTTCATATGGTCGCAGAGCACTTCCTTTTTTGAACCTCTCTTCAAGGTCGCTCCAAATCTCGTGCGCCGTCTTTGCATATCTCACACTACTTCTTATATCTTTGCTCATAGCTGTTTTCAACCAACCTTTTACCATTGCATTGCACCGCATCCATTGTGCAAGATCAGGTGAGTTTGCTTTTGGTATTTCTATTGAGTCGTTCATGAACCCAAACCTGTTTTTAGTGAACAGAGCATTACTCATGTCGCTCACCCATTCACCGTAGTTTCCATCATGTAAGACCTCGCCCACTTAAATTTTTCCAGGATTACCTGACGGATGCAAGTAATACGGAGACATTGCATCAACAATGCAGCTCTATGGTCCCTCGTTGCTCTTAATTGATTCTGTCATTTTTGTTGATTAGAAAATCTGGATCAAGACTAATGCTGTGATACCATGTTAATTATGTATGGCAGAAATAATTAATTCATTGCTTAAAAAGATAGTTACACTGTGAGTCTATTTATACATCTGTACATGAGAGAGAGAGAGAGAGAGAAAATAGAAACACTCGATAGCGAGACACGCGGGATTCACACAATCATATCCTATCCTAACAACATTACATAATCCTTTGTAACTATATGGATATCTATCAAATCTCACATTATGCATGTACGGAGGTGTAATTTGTTGTCCCAAAGCTAAAAGATTCGAAGCTCAAAATTAAAATAGACTAATTTTTGCATTAAAATGTACCTTCGGCAAGATGGAAGTTGCTATGACAACAAGCCATTTTATGCAAAATGTCTACGGAGAGTTTTTAGGGTTTGGGGGAGAATTTTTGAGCCAGTCTGACATTTACCAGCTGCTAAACGTCTATGAAGAGTTTTGAAGTGAAGAAGGTGGAGAAGCTTGGATTATTGTGGGAATCATGATTTTAAAGTATACTTATGGGTACAAACATCACAGAAAAAATAAAATCAGAATTAAAATAAACAAAATAATAAAATGCAATGTTTAATTCCATCTTTGTATATTGGACGGTTGTGCTTATAATCGTCCAACAAGAAATGTCGTATATCGCATATTTTGTAGTAGTGTTTAATGCATTTTCTTAAATTCAATTGTATTTTACAAAATTAATTCCAACTTATTTTCCATAACCTAAATGAAAAATGAGAATTATTAATGCCTAGTCATTATTTTGATTGGTTTTTTTTTTTTTAAATAATGTGAACGTCCTTGTCATACCCTTGTATTATATTGCTTTTTTAACCCATACACTCACAGCGTTACAATTTATTTTTCCTTTTTCGTGCCTGCATCAAGCAGCTAGCTGCAGGAAACAAAGCGAAACAAGTGTTTCAATCAGATTTCTAAGTTAGAAACTTACAGAAGAAAAAAGAGAGTGGTTGTAGAATAAAGGATGCTGATGTTGGAGTCTTGAAGAAGACACTGGATATAAAAATAAAGTGTGTTGAAACTTGAAAGTGAGAAGGAGAATCACATTCAAATATTTTAACTATTTAATTTTTTTATCAACTTTAAAATTCTAAATATTATTCCTAATGCTTGAACGATATTATTTTCCGAGAATAAATAATTTTTTTATCTTAATTTTTTGGCATATGTTTTTTTCCTTGAGTTATAGTAGACTTTTAACAACATTTTGCTCTAAAATTACTATCTGTTCTTGAAGATTGAAGAGATTCTTATGCTTGTTTGCATGCAGCAAGACAAGTTAGAACTTACTTCTTTTTTATTATTTGTTATTGTTATATTCAAGTTTCAACTTCTTATACTGCAAGTATTTCTGTTCAGTCATGATAAATTTTTTGTTTGGAAATCACTAAATAATTTAAATTTTCAAATCTATAATTATAAAGTTTTTGAAGTTAAGATTCATTTGCGTAAGCGTACAATAAAAAATGTATGATTAACTAGTTGCATGATTTCATAAAAAAATATTTTATGTTTGAGAGTGAATTAATATGAACAATAAATGATCTGTTTCTATTGTGTCTAGGTTGTTTTCTTTAGTTTTCATTAGGGATAAAGTCGAGAATAAAGGCCGGGCTTGAAGAACTACCCATTTAAGCCCATTTTTATAAGGGTTTGGGCTTGAAAAAATGACATTTTTTAAGAAAATTAGGCTTTCAAGCCCAGCCTCGATAAGTCCTAAAAAAAAGGTTTGGGCTCAGGCGGTCCTTTTAGACCCATCTTTGTTTTTCCTTTAAAAAATAAAATATTTTTAATTTTTAAATTGAATTTAAATTTTAAAATATATGTTTATATTTTAAAATTAAAATTTCTATTATTTATTTGAATTTTTAAACATTGTAATTTGTATTTTTAAAAAAATATATGAAATATTAAAAAATATATTTACGGGCCTAACCCTAAGCCTTTTATATAAAAGCATGACTTTAAAAAATAAGGTATTTTAGAAAAATCAAACTTAAAGACTCAAGCCCTTAAAGGTCAAGACTATAAAGGTCGAGCCCATATGAGTCGAACCTGCCCATTTCCCAACTCTAATCAAGGACAAATCTAATATCACATACACAGGGCCAGAATTGGAAAATAAAAGAGGAGGGCTAAAAATTCTTGATTTTTTTTTACAAGTAAAATGCATACAATTTAGAATAAATTTCCCCCCTCAACAAAAATCAATGCTTATTTTCTGCTTGTTGTTTCCTTTTTTTCCCCCTTTAATAGCATAAGGAGTACATTTCGCCAACAACAGCGAATTTTGGCTGAATATCTTGTTGTTTCCTTGCTTTGTTCCTTTTCTCAATATGAAGTAAAATTTTCAACTAATTAGCTCTTACTTTTAGGGGGAAGGAATGGAAATTAATCAAGGAACAAGTAAGGAAATGAATCTGATTAGATAAAGCAAAGTGCCTCACAAAAGAAAAGGAAGAATAAAGTGATTGGGCTGATTATAAAAATAAAAGCAGTCATTATAAAGATACGAAGGGCACAGGAAGAGAAACATTTTCTAATTAACTTTGTTCCATACACAAACTTAGCTGTCTATTCGTTTTAACCCCACATCATCCAATAAAATGAGAAGATGGTTTGCTGTAATTATCACTTATTGCTCATATTAATTTGTTCCTAAACATAAAATATGTAATAACCCAAAAATTTTGGAAAATTTAATTGATAATGAGGAATTTTAAGTATATTTGTATACATTTTACGGACAAATTTAATGAGCGCGTTGGTAGCTCTGTGGAAACCTCTCTCGATGTTTGGTTCCCGTTTTGAGCTCTTGTAATGCCATAGGTGATATTTTATTTTTGCTCTGGGTTGGCAAAATTTTAGAAGTACCCCACACTAAAAAAGAAAAAAAAAAGGAATAAAATCATCAGATATTCTATCCCTCCTCCAATCTCCATTCCGTTATCGGCACTGCACCCAGAGGGAGAGAAGAGCCCGACCTCCTCTTCTCTTCTTCCTTCTTCCTCGTTTGATCTGTCACTCACCGGTCATCGTGAGTGCGTCCGTGCCGTTGCTGGACGTTTGGGTCGCAAGGCTCTTCTTCTCTATCCCCATTTCTAGTTTCTACTGCGTCTGCCGAGAGAGAGGGGGTTCCAATTGATGTTTCTGTTCCCTCTTCTCGCGGGTGAGTGCTTTCACGAAGGAGCTGGATTTGTCGTCATCAAGGGTTGTCGATCAGTTCGGAGCTCTCTTTCCTTCTCCCCTGTTTTATCCTGCCGAAATCATCTTCTCCCTGTTCGCCACTGCCATTGGTAAGGGTTTAATCCTCTCCCTTTGTTCCTTAATTGCTCTGTTGGCTGGTCGATTTCCATCACTATTCCCTCCTTTAGGTTCGATATGTATGTATCGCGTAGATTTCTGAAAAAATGAAAACGGAGGATAATTAAAAAGAATAAAATTTGGTTCATCTTCCTTGTTCCTAGGTGGTGCGTGAATGGGAGAGTGATTGTGGTTTAAGGAAGCTGAAACTTAAGTTTAAAAACACATCTTTGTTAGATAAAATTCACTTCTGTGTTTTTGGCTGTTGTACGAACAAGAAGATGGATTTAGAATTGATTTCTTTTGAGCTTTAAACTGTTTATTTATGGGGAATTGGACTCGAGCAGCACAATAAATTTAAATTTAGATGTTCAGATATTATTAGACAAGAGATTTGAAGAATCTTGATTGAATGGTTAGGTTAGTGGTGTTAAGGACTAAAATTTGAACTTAATTTATTCAATCTTTATGTTGAAACTTAGAAAAGTATTGATATTTCTTGAATATATGTGTGTGTATTAATGTATTAATTCATGCGCTGAGATGTACAGCTTGAATCTTGAAACGTGAAAGGGGGATGATGAGATTTTCTTTGATGAATTGTTATTTGGAATATACACACACACACATTATTGATTGAATTCAATGTTGCCTCCTGCAAGTTGAAATTGATGCAAAGTTATTTTGAATATGTCAAGGACTTGGGACAGGGATGTGCCATTGGGTTGTTGAATATTAACCTCAGGGAAATTAAAGAGTAGTTTGGGTGATGCTCAGATTAAGTGTAGACTTATATGAAATTATTAGCGATTTGTAATTAGAGAATTCTATAATAATAATAATAATAATCATAATAATCATAATAATAGTAATGGTAATATTGTGAGTTTTACAAAGTGTGAAAGAAATGACAATATTTTTACTTTGGACATTAGGGAGTTAAGGAGCGATCCATATAGCAGAAGTGACTAATTAGGAGTAAATTAAGTATTTAGGAATGTATTATTAATAAGTGAATAACATCCCAATTAACTTAACAATTAAATTTTCTTAAATTTTTTCTTAAAATATCTTTATGCAATACTTTGTTTAAAGACTTTGCTATTTTTTTTTTTTTACAATCTAGATTGTACTCTCTACTTATCCTATTTTTATTCAATTAGTTTATTATTGAAATTATTCTATTTTATCAAAATGTTATGCTATTGGATCCAATATGTAATGAATCGATTATTTATTTAGAATAATTCTATTGTTTAAATTTTGTATTTGATTTGAAATCTATTAATATAGTGATTTGTGCATGGAAAAATTGTTGGAAAAAGAAGCTGATAATTGAACCTTACATTTTGAAAGAATGATTTTAAAATGGATGTTTAGATCCATGCTTGCTTAATTTTGATTAAAGGGACTGAATTTAGAATGTGGGTATCTACCGACAATTCCGATAGCTCTTTGGGTGCCATGATACACCTAATTAGTAAGATGCTTATAGGATGTACTAACCCTGTACGTAGGCCAATACACATGAAATGGAGGGATGAATATTCATGAGTATCATACTCACACTTGTTTCGTGGGTTTCGTGGCTGCGCTTGTTTCATGGATTTAAGCTACACTTATCGATGACTTACCCTCGTGAACTGTGTGTCCACATTTGTTATTCATTCTGATAAAATTTCATTAAAGAATATTTGAAATTACTATTTTCAAAACTAATTTTATTAAACAAGATAATTTTCATGAGTGAAATTTTTTTTAATGAGCTATGCTATTTTTATCTGTTTTATATGAATGTTGTTGTTGGAAAGTGAAATCTGATTGACATGTTATCCTTACATAAAAATGCTTTAAGATTAAGTGCTTAAATGAAAATTATTTGATTTAAATTATGCACTACTGCCATTTTTTTCCAACTGATTTAGTTAAATTCATGTTTATTCCATTTATAATTTTTTGTTGTATTTCCTTTAATTTTAATCTGGGATATTATTCACCGGAAAAGATATTTTTGGCCTCAGATGTACCAAACTTGTATCTCAAGGTATTAATTGAGGAGTTCTATTGCTGAATTGAAGTGGAAGAGTTACTTGAGACAAGTCTCAATTCAATGAGAATTTGAACTTTGTATTTTTGTCTAAGTGTGGCCCAAGGGCCTCCACATAAATTGTAGGTAGGATCCTTGTCTTTCTTCTAAGATTGTATATTTGACTTGATATTGTAAATTGTTTGTTGTAGAAATTTCTAGAAGTCTTATTTTAGAAGAGGTTTTTTTTTTTCAAAATTTCTTTATAAGTTCGTGATTTCTAGTTTATATGAAAAGTATAATAAAAATTTCTAGTCATCATATTAAGGCATTTAAAGTACTAACTAGGGAGTTTCTCTTATCAAGGCTTAATAGATGTGAGTTTTGTGCCTATATTTTGTGTCCATCACACTTGATTTGTGGGGTATGACAGAATATAACCTCTTTATGAAATTATGAAACGAATCTTAACTTTAAAAATTTTCAAAAATTTAGTCCAATATAATAGACCTGCGTATCTTTTTTTGGGATTTCATTTTCATTGCTTCTTGTTCCTCGGCTTTAAAACTCTCTAATTCTTGAGTTGTTTTCACCTCTTTCAAGTTTATTTCTTCTCTTGCTTCTCTTGTGATTGTACATCTTGTTTCGCACTATTTTCTGCAATGAGAAAGTCGGATCAGGAGGAAATTCCCATGGAAGCTAATAATTTAACGAGGAAGGGACCGTGCTACAGCAGATTGCAGGAACTGTTGAAGAAGCAGTTCGTTTCATCAATTCTTTTTCTGGTTACTCTGCATTTTTCTTAGATTTAAAAGGGCATTTTTATCTCACTTTTTTTAGGTGCAATGATCACTGTAATATCAAAGGTGGCGCAATGTCACACTTTAAGTATTAAAAAAATTGCAATAATATTGCCTACCCTCCATTAACGGACTCTTAGTTTAACTATTAGTGAACAAGGAAAATTAGAGTTAAAGTTTCAAAAAATTACAAATAAATTCTCAATAAGAAAATAAAAAACAACTAATTTCCCAAAATTAGAAATAAATAAAGAAGGGAATAATGTTATTTAATTTTTTACTTATATAAAAGACCAAAACAGAAATATTGAGGCAACCAGCCTGCCGACCTAACCAAGATTCCAGGGAATTATTCACACCAAAAATAAGATTCAAAAAGATTCACAAAATCATAATCAAAACAGAATTACATTGTACAGGATTTTCATGTTACGTCAACAGAGAAAAATCATAGTTTGCCAATGATGTGATATTCGTAAGTAACAAGTATCTCACGAATTTGGAAAACCTCTAAACCTGCAGCTGATGACAAAATTTCAGGGAAACCTTCAAAGATACCTTGGGAACGAATATAAAATAATTATATTTTAAATTTTTTTAATTATAAAACACAATTTTCTTACTATGTGAAAATTATATTGATTGGGAAATTGTTTTCTTTCAAGATCAAAGCCTGGTCATGAAAGTTTTTTTAAAAAATATCTTTTAATATTTGAAATACATCACCATAGTTGTTTTTCTCAGTATATTCTTCAAAAATGCAATTTTGAAATCATCAAAGCCAATTAATCAAAATTTAATTTTGGTAAGTATTCAAGTCAATGAGGTAGCTTCCATGTAACTAACCATACTATTTATTATCTTAAAAATATCCAAATAAAAATTTCTAACGGCATGGAACACAAAGTATTAATTTAACAATAATAATATAAAACTACATGACTAATTCATATAACGTATAGGGATGAAATATTTATTTCCTCTCTTTTAGGCTTCCATTCAAAGTTTTATAAAATATGTTCTTTTCACTAAAAAGGTTATAATATGGAGCAAACGTACTATATATTACATCGCCTATTCGCCTCACATGTGGTATACAAGTTACCTTTTAGAGACCGTTAAAAAAAAAATTATGTTTATTTGTAACGAATGGGCTGGGCTCTATATGAGATTACTTTTATGTATTGGGCTGGATCTAGATTATGGTTAGGGATTAGATATAAAAGATGAATACTAAAGTTTAGGAAGTGTCAATGATTTTGTTGAGCGTCTTCCTCTCTGATGCATTTCTCCCTTACCTGAGACTATTCTCCTTCACTCATCCTTTGAGTTTTATTCTGTATTCTTTCGTTCATCAAATCTGAACATGATCATAACAAATGGTGCTTTCATTGAGAGTGGAGCTTCACCTCCTACATCTATGCAACACAATACAATGGATGAAAGCTGGAATCGATTGAAGTCTACTCTTCTTCAAGCTCTTAAAGTTATGGATTCTTTGATTTTCAAAAGCATGATCAAGTCCCTGATATTGAGTGGGCCAAGGCAAGGATGGATCTACAACAAGAAATCAGTAAGTATGATTCACTAGAGTCAAACTGAAGTTCATCTGTTGAGTTGGTGACTGTCGAGATGTCCATCGAAAATCACCTATGCTCCTTCGAGTTCCCACACCTTACTCACATCAATGCTCAGATGGTTACTACCTCTCATCAATTTGGAGGGGTGGATGGGCCACCATCCATTGAGTCACCGTGCTTTGATTCGGCCCTTGAAGATAATGTTGGTGGCACTGGCAATGTAGACGTGAACGACGAATGACTAGCTACTTGAGTCATTTCGAAAGGATATTGTCTTTAAGAACTATTTCGGCACACCGGGAGGACAGACCAGCAGTTCCCCAGGATTAAACAAGCACTTCCTGTGGAGCAAGGAATTAGAATTGCAGAAACAAAAAATGAACCCAGATGAATACGACAGTAGAAGGCAGAGGGAGGAGAGAATTGTCCCGAAAACTCAAGAGGCTGGTTGTTTGCTCTGTCCGCACCCATGGCTATATATAGCCTGAAGATGGAGACATGAACATTGGCTCATTATCACCGGATTAAAGCTTTAGTTACACACATAAAACACCATTAATCTGGAGACGTTGGCAGACAAACACGTTTGAGACATTAACTCACAAAATTGATTTTCAGAAGTGGTTTAATGTGCATAAAACTACCAAGGCTTCAAATTCAAATTTAAACAACAAAATTTGATGTCTTTCGATTAAGCTAAAAGTAATTATTTATTTAATTATTTTGTGAAAATAATTCAATAAAAGTAACCCATTGCCTCTTGAACTCGCGCGCAGGGGGGAATCGGTTGATTTCAACTACGATTCCTCTGAGTTGGCTCGTTTCATGTGCACAAGCCCACTTCTCCTCCAAGCCTATTTTACTAGCCCACTTCATTTCTTAGTATTTATACACTAAGAGAGTCCTTCATTTTGTCAATGTGGGACTTTTAACACCTGCACACTTTTGACACACACACAACAATCCCCCATATATGTCAAAAGGATCTATGTTCGTTTGAATTATTCACACAGAGGATAATCACTTTGAATTTGGTGTCTGTCGACTTGAACCAAGCCTAGACTAATAAACTTAACACACAAAAGAGTCAGTGTAACTTCGTTATTGAACCAACAGATCTCGAGTGTGTACTAGAGGTCTTATTCATTAGATTATAGCCCTACAGTCTCCGCTGTCAATGATAATTTTGCATGTTATTGGTATGTGCGCGCTTGGTTTTAACAAATGCTCTAGAGATTTTACCACGATCGCATAGGAGCGGCCGCACTTCACATTTGTATAGGTGTTTTTATCAAGTGTATCTATAATGAATGCACCATCCATAAGGACTATGAAAACATTAAGAGCTTTCGCTCAGCCTCCGTTCAATGCATTCTAGCACTTTCTCAAGCCATAGGAAGAGACAAAAATTTAGTGTTAACAGAACTAACAAGTGGCTTGTTCTTACCTATTGAACCTTTTTCATGGAATCTCCAATCACAAAGGTTAGGTTGCTATTCCCCTCGACGTTTCAATAATAAATTTCTTCCCCAGGGGCTTAGTTATTGGATCCGCTAGATTTAACTTTGATCTTACATAATCGATTGAGATGACCCCATCTTTGAGCAACTGCCTTATAATATTATGTTTCAATCGAATATGTCTACTTTTTCTATTGAAGGTCTTATTTTTAGTCGTTACTATTGCAAACTGGCTATCATAGTGTAAAGACACTGATGGTGCAGGCTTTTCACCTATTGGAATACTTGCTAAGAAGTTTTTCAACCACTTAGCCTCAATTCTAGCTAGCTTCATGGCAATAAACTCAAAATCCCTTGAGGATTTTATGTTGATTGTCTATTTTGTAGACTTTCAGGTTGTTGCACTACCACCAAGAGTAAATATATAACCACTAGTGAATTTTGTCTCTTCTGAATCTGAAATCCAGTTAGCATCACTATATCCTTCCAATACAGTGGAAAATCCACTATACTATATACCATAATTCATGGTACCTTTTAAATATCTCAAGACTCTCACCAGAGCTTCTTAGTGTTTACTACTTGGACAGTGAGTATATCTACTCAATCTGCCTATAACATAAGCTATATTAGGCCTAGTAAAATTCATTAAATGCAACACACTACCAATAATCTGTGCATACTCAAATTGAGCAACTGGGTCACCCTTTTACTTTTTTAATTGCACACTCAAATCATAAGGAGTACTCAAAGGAGCATCTTCAAGATATTCAAACTTTTTGAGAATTTTCTCAACATAATGTTCTTGGGAAAGCAAAATCTTATTTTCATTCCTTATGCTTTGTACACCCAAGATTATCTTGGCTTCACCTATATCTTTCATATCAAAATTTGAAGAAAGAAAATTTTTTGTTTCATTAACAACACACATACTAGAGTGAAAAATTAGCATGTCATCCACATACAAGCATATAATCATACAATCATTATTCACAAGCTTTATGTAAACACATCTTTTTACTTCAACATTAAAAAATCTACTAGTTGTCAAAACTTGATAAAGTTTTTCATGTCATTATTTAGACGCTTGTTTTAAGCTATACAAAGACTTGACAAGTTTACAAACTTTATTTTCTTGCCTAGGAATCACACATCCCTTAGGTTGTACCATGTAAATTTTTTTTTCCAAATCACCATATAAAAAAGTGATTTTAACATTCAGTTGGTGAACAAAAAGCTTGTAAATTGAAACCAAAGCAATAAGAACTCTTATAAAATAAAATTTAGTCACAGGATAAAATGTGTCAAAATAATCTATATTTTTATTTTGAGTAAAACCCTTGGCCACAAACCTCACTTTATATTTATCAATTGAACCATCTGAAAAATATTTTTTTGTTAAAAATCCATTTACACCTAATAGCCTTAGCTCCTTAGGGCAAATCTGCTAAAACTAAAGTTTTATTTTTCCTTAAAGAATCAATTTCAATTTCAATTGCTTCTTTCCAAGATTTGGCATCATGAAAAGAAATAGCTTCATAAAAATTTAATGGTTCATCTTGCACTAAATAAGTGTAAAAATCATCTCCAAAATTTATTTCTTTTCTTTGCCTTTTACTTCTCCTTAAAACCAAATCTTCATTTACATTTTATTCAAACTCTAAATTCTCAATAGATTTAGAAACATGCTCAATTTTCAAGGGAAAAATATGTTCAAAAAATTTAGCATCCTTAGTCTTAACAATTGTGTTTTGGTCTAAAATATCACTTTTTAAAACTAAAAAGCGATAAGCTACACTTTGTTCAGCATACCCAATAAACATATAATCAGAAGTTTTAGAACTAATTTTTCTCTTTTTAAGATCGAGCAATAAAACTTTTGCAAGACACTCCCACACTTTCAAATATTTTAAATTTGGGATAAACCCTTTGCATAACTCATAAGGTGTTTTCTTTGTTTTCTTATGAGGTATCTTATTTTGTAAATAACATACAGACAAAATAGCTTCACCCCACAAGTTATCAGGCGTAGAAGAACTCGCAAGCAAAGCATTCATCATTTCTTTTAATGTTCTATTTTTTCTTTTACAACACCATTAGACTCGAGAGAATAAGGAGGTGTTATCTCATGTATAATTCATTCTTTTTCATAAAAATTGTTTAACAAAACATATTCTCCACCTCTATCAAATCTAACCTTTTTAATCCTTTTGTTTAACTAATTCTCAACCTCTTCTTTATATAAAAGAAATTTTTCAAAGGCCTCATCTTTGTTTCTTAACAAGTATACCTTAGTATATCTTAAAAAATTATCAATAAAAGTGATATAATATTTTTTTACCACCTTTAGTCATAATTTGTTTTAAATCACCTAAATCAGTGAGAATTAAAGACAATAATTCAGATTCTCTTTGACTAGAAAAATGAGGTTTTTTACTTTGTTTAGTTTCTGCACATACTTTACATTTTCCAAAACCATTGTTTTTAATTTCAAAAAGTAGTCCAAGTTGTCGCATCCTATTTATATAACCTTTACTAGTGTGACCTAATCTAGCATGCCATAAATCAAAGGAATAAACTATATCAACAAACATATACTTAGAAGATTCAGTTTTATTCATTTCATCAACATTCAAAACAAACAGTCTCTGATTACAATACCCTTTGCCCATAAATACATTTTTTTTTGTCATTACAATTTTGTCAAATTCAAATGACACTTTAACCCCAGCTATCCCTAATAGAGCAATTGAAACTAAGTTTGTTATAACTTCAGGCACATGCAGAACATCGTTCAAAGCTAGAGTCTTTCTTGATGTGAGCTTTAAGACCACTTTTCCTTTTCCTTGAACTTTGACAGTTCGAGAATCAGCAAGGTAAACACGGTCTTTCCCTTCCTTTGCAAGATCATAGGAGGTAAACATCTCCCAATTAGCACATATGTGCCTAGTAGCCCAGATTCTACCACCCATTTTTTCACATAAGAAATCAAGAGAATTTGTGATACCACTATAGTAATGATGTCATTATGACTATAATCATCTATTGCACCAAATTTACATTTAGCTTATGAGGCTTATCATAGTTCGCTCTCTTCCTATACTGTGCTGCATAGTGTCTTAGTTTACCACATATAAAATAGTCTCCTTTTTTCTTGAAAGAGGGGTTACAAGTATTGGGTTTGTAATCAAATTTTCTATTCTTTTTGTCCTTGGTTTTAGGGTCATACCTCTTATTGTGAAGCTTTGTATCCACCAAGTTGCCTTTGGATGTCATCTATCTAGTTCGAGCTACACATGCTTCCTTGTAGTTGGTGTCTTCAATAATGATGTGAGTGATCAAGTCAGTCAAGGATAGCTGCTTCTGTTTGTGTTTCAACTGCTATTTGTAATCATTCTATTATTATGGCAGCTTCTCAATCAGGATCCTAGCAACGAACTCATCTGGAAGGTTGATGTTTTCAGCACGAAGCTCCTCCAGCAGCTTATGATATTCATTGATTTGCTCCTTCACATCCTTCTTCTCGGTCATCTCCCATTTATAGTAGTTTCCCACAATAAACTTTTATTTGTCAGCATTCTCAGTAGTGTACTTTGTCACCAAGGACTCCCATATCTTACAAGCTTCCTCATAGACATAGTAGATATTGAACAAATCATTAGATAAAGTGCTAATAATAGTGTGTAGGCATACCTTATTTGCAAAAGTCCATACAACTCTCTGGATTTAATCAGTATCAGCAGGAGGCTCAAATTGAGCAAGAGCAGCGGCCTTACCATACATGTCAAGAATGGTGAAGACTCGTTCTTGCCAGGGTTTGAAGTTCCTATCATCAAAGACTTCTATCTTCAATATGTCTGGGAATGGCCTCAGCAAGGCGATGGCAATAGCGATAGGGATGTACTAATCTCCAGTTGAACTACTGAGTACACCTTCGAGGATGACATTATTAGCACCGTTGGTCGCCATTCGGTTGGATAGTTCTTAAGATTGTTAGTGGCACCGGTAGTGTAGATATGAACGACGAACGACAAATTGCTTGAGTCGTGCCCAGAAGGACACTGTCCTCAAGAACTATTTCAGCATATCAGGACGATAGACCGGTAGTTCTCTAGGATTAAACAAGCACTTCTTGCAAAGCAAGGAACTAAAACAGCAAAAACAAAAAAGGAACCTAGATGAACACGATAGTAGAAGGTAGAGGGAGAAGAGAATTATCCTAAAAACTCAAGAGGCTGGTTGTTTTCTTTGTTTGCACCCATGGCTATATATCGCTTGAAGATGAAGACATGAACGTTGGCTCATAATCACCGGATTAAGGCTTCGGTTACACATATATAAAACACCATTAATGTGGAGACGTTGGTAGACAAATATGTTTAAGACATTAAGTTACAAAATCAATTTTCAGAAGTGGTTTAATGCCTAAAAAACTACCAAGGCTTTAAATTCAAATTTAAACAGCAAAATTTGAGGTCTTTTGGGTAAGCTAAAAATAATTATTTATTTAATTATTTTGTGAAAAATAATCTGATAAAAGTAACCCTGAGTTGGCTCGTCTCATGTGCACGAGCCCACTTCTCCTCCAAGCCCATTTTACTAGCCCACTTTATTCCTTAGTATTTATACACTAGGAGAGTCCTTGATTTAGTCAATGTGGGACTTTTGACACACACACAACAGATAATGCCTCTATTGTGTCACTATCTCATGCCTTGTGTGGTAGAGACGACAATAACCCACTGATGATCAACGACCCTAGGTTAGTGGAGAAGAACTCAATTTTTACCAATCTTGCTGATACAAACTCTGTTGTGCTCTCGTAATGTTTAGTTGCTGTTAAAGACACCATTGTCCAAGCAGATTCTGCATTGCTGACTCGTGAAGCTGAGTTCCTCATTGTTGATAATTCTACCATCAATTATCTTGCTCTAAACCATATGCATGAGGTAACATTTTCATCCAATGGATTGTCAGACCTTGGGGCTTTAATTCCATATCCGACCATGAGCTTTACTTCTTTCTTCAATCGGTTCCCTTTTAGGATTCACCTTTGCACTTTCGATAGTAGTGGCATTGGGAGATTGTTAACCAGTCGCTTCATTAGTCATTGCTCTTGCACATAATTTGGCTTCTACAAGTCAACTTGCATTGATTCATGCAGTATCTGATTTCATTCCAAAAATTCCAACACAGCTACTTTTTTATGTATTTATAGAGGTACCACTATCTTCATATGTTCCTTGTTATATGCTTATCTTCTATTCTCAAGTTGAATTTCAATATCAAATACAAGGTGCTGGTTAATGCAATTTTTTTTTTCGACCGTGTGATTCACTATCATTTGTCTTTGAGGACAAGGTCATTGTTTGTAGAGGATATAATTTATTGCTTGAGCTTAGCATTATTGAGAATTGGGACTATGAGGAAGGAATTATTGAGCAGATTGCATTTGGGAATCAATGTCTTAATATGGGCAATTATTTTTATGGTGCTACTTTAAGTGTTATAACTGTGATTATTGATGTGATTGAAGTTGAGCAACAAAATTCACCTAGTTTGAGTGTTCAAATAGTCTTTGATCCTAGTACTTCCTTCTTTGTTCATTGCTCTTCCACAATATGTTACATAGAGTTGCTTTTTACCTCTCCTACCATACATAGTTTTTTATGAACATCCAATGGAGTTCCTAATCCTTGCTATCTTTGAAGATTTTTGTAATGACCAAAATTTTAAATTAAATGTTTTTTAATTGATATTTTTATTTAAAATAGTTTTATAAAAAGTGGAGAGTGGTGGTTTAATGAAATTTACTTTAGTAACTTTTTGAAGGTCTAGAGTTTGATTTTCATTGAGCAAAAGTTTGATTTTATTTTGTTTTAAACTATAAAAAATTTTGGGCTCATTCTTGTAATTTTTCCTTGTGTCATATCTTGTAGTTTTCCTAATTTTCCTTTTTGGTCAGAATTTATATTCTTCCTACTCGAGACAGATCATTTCATTTTTTCCTCAATTTCTCTCCTTTCTTCATCGACATGAGCTCCCCTGATTCTTTACTATCAGTTTGCATTTCTGCTCTTCACTATCGACTTGCTTCCTAGATCTTTGCCATCGGCTTCCTCTGTTCGCGTCGCTATTTCGCATCTGGATGTGGGAGATCGCTGGGTTCACTCCCTTGTTTGGCCGTTCTTTACCTCTTCTCTACTTCGTGGCTGACAGTGATGCGTGGTGCGTCATCTTGAACTTCTCTTCCTCCTCAGTTATAGGCGTGAGGTAACCTCAATTTCTCTTCCTCCTATAACCGATAGATGCTGTCTCTTCTTTGATTTTTATTGCTGTGAGTTAGTGTAAGAGGTTCCTTTCTTCTTCCCCTGTTCAGTGCAGCGAATTCATTCTTCCTCCTTTCCTATTCTACTATAATTGATTTAAGGTGTGGAGCTTCAAATCCCCTACCTCTTTGCTATTTTGTCTGTGTGATATTTGGCTTAGCTGTGATGTTTCTTTATTTTTGCTGCTACTGTGCGTGATAGAAGGGAATACATGAGTTTAACCAAGCTGAACTTGAATTTAAGAGCATGATTGTCGATAGATAATTTCTCTTATGTAGATTACTATAGAAGAAGAATTAGATTTAATTTTCTTTGATCTCAATTGGCTTGTGTTGAAGGAAAAAAAATGGGAAGCTTGGAAATTTAGGTATTGATAAAAATTTTAAGGAAATGAGGAAGCTTGTATTATAGTTGAGCATGAAGGCATGTAAGGTGTTTGACAAAATGTTTGATGGAAGGAACTTTGCTTGATTTCGAAGTTTATGAAATTTCATTAATTCTTATAAGAAGTATGTTTGGTTTAGATACTATTTAATTGTGAATTACCATGAGTATTATCTAAAAATTTGATAATTATGGAGCTAGTGTGTAATTAGTGGATTTCTTGGGAGTTGTATGGTTGTTGATTAATGATTGAGCAAGAGATTTGAATGTTAAAAAGCTCAATTGAATGGTTGAAATGATGCACAATAAGCATTTGACAAAAGGCTAAAGAGGAAATTTCATTTTAATTGAGTATTTAGCTATTGTTACTTTATGTGTAAATCTTGGTTCTAAGGCTTTAAATTTATTATAGTTAAATGTTTGATATGTTACTTTGAAATAAAGTCTTATTGAACTTATTAAAAGTCTATTAAGACCCTATTATATTTCATATGGTGTCTAGAGAAAGAGGATCTTGATAAAAGGGATAAGGAGTAAGTTATAAATTTTGGGAAGTATTTTAGGTAAGTGGATATCGTCCCAACTAATTTTTTTATAAAATTTTCTTTACTAAAATAATACATTTTTATGCAAATCATTTTATAACAACAATGTGAGTACTAGATAATTTTGTTAATTAAACTTCTTTATTTTATGAAATTGCCTTTAGCACTTTTGAAATGTCAATTATTCAATAAATACAAGTTTGGACTTTGATTATGGGATTTCATTCTGAAAATTATTGAATTGCTATGGAAAAACGATTCATGCAAGTTTGACATTGAAAATGAAAATTATATTTTTACCAATGATAATCTTCTCGCATGTTTGAAAGTGGATTTAAAAGGGACTTTATACAGAACACTGGTTGCTAATGGAAGTTCAGTTAGCCTTTGGCGTGCCATGGTACATCTAGCTAGCAGGGTGTTTATAAGAGGTGCTAGCCCCATGCGATGGCTAACACACGTGGAACAAAGGGATGGTTATTCGTGAGCATCATACTCATATTTGTTTCGTGGTTTCAAGCCACATTTGATTAACATTACCCTCATGGACTGTGTGTCCACATTTGTTTCGTGGCTTTGGCTGTGTTTGGTTATTTATCCTCGTGGATTGTGTGTCCACATTTGTTTTTATGGCATAAGCCGCATTTGGTTATTTACCCTCGTGGACTGTGCGTCCACATCTGTTAATTGTTTTGATAAGTCCCTATAATTATGAATTCAATTATTTGATGATTTTATATTCCATTGATTTTTTTTCAATAATTTGTTTATAAATATTTATTTCATTTATGTGCTTTCTTGAAATCAAGTGATATTATCATTTGCTACGATAGTTAAATGATTTGAGATTTACTTGAATATTTATAGAGACATTTTATTATGAAATTTATTCAATTTTTACGGAAAGTTTTGTTTCTTTAACTTGCATGACTATTTCAAACTTTTCATTTTATTTATATTCTATTATTTATTGTTGGGACGTTATTTATGAAAAAAAATTTTTGATCTCAGATAATGTAGTTGACACTGCACCTCCTGCTAATCGTTGGGGGCTCTATTGCATTTTGGACAGTGGAAGCATGCTTCAATCGTTTAATTTAATGTAAATAGTCATTATATTATACAATGGTAGTTAGTGCTCCACGTATACCGTAGTTAAGTTCTGGTCTTATTTTTGTTATCATGTAATCTACTGGTGTAGAGTTAAGCTCATCTTCTGGATTTGTTGACAGGTTTATTGGCTATAAAAATTTTGGGACGTTCTAATTACAGGGGAGACTTTGCCAAAATTTTTACCGAATATTTAAGAGTTTATGAAATTTATAATTATATATGTATATATTATATGATTTATTGATCAATATAAATATCTATCACTATTATAGTTTAATATTTGGATAATTGAAGCTTATGGAATATGAGTTTATTTCATATTTTGCATCGGTCACACCATGAGTATTGGGGTGTGACAATTTTAAAGATTTCAATATTGGTGTATTAAGTAGGCATCAATTAGTTGGTCTTGCTGAAATTGGATTCCATGATTTGTTTCATGTGCATTTGTATGCTCAACTGCTAATTGCTCCTGAGATAAAGTAGTATGGTGCCGTAAATGGCTGCTTATCTCCTATAACTTTCATTGGCACGAGTTTGCACAATATGATTTCCATTGAATACTTAAAGGAAGGGCTTCAACTTGTTGCTCCAATACTGATATTGGGTGACGCGTTGAGTGGACCAAATTTCAAGTGGAATTTGCTCAATTTATTTCATCCCAAAATTAGACATTACAGGCACGGGATATATGCACAAACAGACATCCCTTAAGACGTGGTCAAGGAAACTTTAATCTATTAGTTAATCTTTATTTCTAAAACATAATTAAATTTATATTGAAATTTCTAACACCTTTAATAATTTTCACCTATAATAAAAGTTTCAGCATTTTTTTATGAAAATTTTAGCAGAACCTTCCCTATAAATAGAGCTCGTAAAAATTCTATAATATGTTTAAATCAAAATATCAAATCAATCAGGAGCAAAACTCCTTCCAGCCAGTGGACAAAATATATAACAACATAAACAATCTAGCCACAGACTATATAAAGCACCTAAAAATAAATTTATAAAATAAGATCTCATAATTAAAACATTACATTAAAAAAAAATTTCAATCCTTAGCACCTCCACTTCTAGTCAATAATAGACTCTCAATGTTCAGCAGGTGGTTTAGTGTGAATAACATCCCAATGATAATAAAATTTAAAAGAATAAAATGAATAAACTTAAGCAATATATATAAAAAGATTGGAAAGAGAATAGTACAATATAATATGCTCACTAAATCTTGGAACCAAGAATCATAAAACATTATAAATAAACTAAAATGCTCTATCATTAGCTCTTGAAGAATTAAATGAATCATATATGAATAGAAGAGATGACATACTTATTAATTAAAACCAATAAAATTTAAATATATAAGTTGTCACACCCCAAATCAGGTGTGACCGGCATGGGATATGGGCACAAAACTCATATCCCTTAAGCCGTGATTGGAGAAACTCTGAAATTAATACGTTAAACACACTAATAGAGTAATTAGAAATTGATACAATAATAAATCAGATATTCAATTTTAAAAAAAATGTGATGATCCTACCTGTAGTCTACGTGGAGCACCTAAAGCTAGACGCCATCGTAGGTATAAAGTTTAAATTTTTCATCAAATTAGGATTTGACTAAAATAATTCTTCTACTTCAATTCAGCAATAAAACTCCTCAGTAGATATCATGAGTCATGAGTTCAACTATACCATCTGAGACCAAAATATCTTTTTTAGTGAATAATGTCTCAATAATAAATAATTGAACATAAATAAAAGAAAAGTTTGAAACAATTATGCAATTCAAAGAAACAACGATTTTCATAAAAAAATTTAATAAATTTCAAAAATAAAAGAATTTCATAAAGTTTAAATAAAATCTTGAACTATTAAAATATCATACCAAATATTATTATCACTTAATTACAAGAAATAAAATAAATAATTATAAATAATTCAGTAACTAAAAAAAAACCAATGGAATGTAAAATAATCAAATAATCAAATTCATACTACAGGGACTTATCAGAATAATTAACAAACGTGGACATAAAGTCCACGAGGGTGGATAACCAAATGCGGCTCTTGCCACGAAGACAAACGTGGACACACAATTCACGAGGGTAAGTAACCAAACGCAGCCGAAGCCACGAAACAAACGTGGACACACAGTCCACGAAGGTAATGCTAACCAAACGCAGCTTGAAGGCACGAAACAAACGTGAGTACGATGCTCACGAATAACCATCCCTCCGTTCCATGTGCGTTGGCCATCGCACGAGGCTAGCACCTCCTATGAACACCCTGCTAGCTAGGTGTACCATGGCGCGCCAAGGGCTAACGGAACTGCCGTTAGCAACTAATGTTCTGTACAAAGTCCCCCTTTTAAAACCATTTTCAAACATGCAAGAAAATCATCACTTTCAAGATACAGTTCTCATTCTCAAAATCAAACTCGCATGAATACTTTTAAGCATTAAAACTTTTCAGAATCAAATTTCATATCCGATGCTCATGCTTGCATTTATTGAATAAAGAAAAATTTTCAACGTCGAACTCGCATGAATCATTCTCTGTATCAATCCAATATTTGATAAAATAAAAATCTCATAATCAAAGTTCAAACTTGACTTGATTGATCAAATAACATTTCAAATTTTGTAAAGCTAATTTCTCAAAATAAAGAAATGTTAATCAACAAATATCCAATAACCGCATTAATGCTATTAAAATGATTTCCAGAAAAATGTAGTCTTCTAGTAAAGGAAATTTTGATTAAAAAAAATTAGTTGGGATGCGATCCACGTACCTGATAATTCCCAAATTAATAACATGTGCTTTTTAAATACCTCTCCATTTTCTTTTAGCTACGTTATTACCTAGACCAAAAGAATAAATAACTTTCTTTAATAAAAACAAATCCAATCAATATATTTCTAACTAACATTCGTGAACCCAATATGTAATCTAGAACATATTCAAAGTCCTCAATCCTTATTTGTCTTTAACTTACCATCTGTATTTAAAATTTATATTCTTTTCGTTCATTTCTCCCACCTATAATGATGTATTCATCTTTACCATACCTCCTTCCCTTAATAACCAATAAATGATTTATCCTTAAGGCTCGTCAATAATTCTTCACAAAATACGCTTTATTCGAAACTTAACAATTTCTTACCTTACACAACCACAATTGATCTTGTGACCCCTTTAATTCAATATCATAAATGTCATCAAGTATAATAAAGTTTTTTTTTTCAGATTCCCTTGTTCCTCAAGACCAAACTAATCTAAAAATTTTAAAATTTTACCTAGCATGTTCAAATTCTAACCTATACATCATTAAGCCAACTTCTTGATTTTCCCAAGCTTCATCATAGAAAATAATTAACTTATTTTGTCAATCAAATTTCACAATAAGAATCACTTAATTTCAAGGGGAAAAACTCTAGCCAAACCACCTTCATTGTATTCAAATCCTCTTGTAACTCAGGTATACGCAAGATCAGAACAAATAACAAAGAAAAATTTACAATCCCAACCACATAAACAGACTCACAAAACACATATTAACAAGCTCATATATTAATGAAAAACCAAGTGACCTAAATATTAAAATTTAACTAAGATTAACTTGATCAAGTTTAAGCACTCATCGATTCATGCAAAAAGAGAACCAAAGCAGGGGAAAGACTCTCTACACCCATAGGACCTTAGACCTATAAATAATAAAATTAATTTTATTGGCCTATAATAATTTTTTATTTGCCCACTTTCTTCCAAGCAAATCATAAACCACACATGGCAGAGACTAACATTTTGTCAGAACCGATATTGAATCAATAGAATATTGATTCACTCAATCATGATCAAATTGTGATTTAACTTGCATCAATTAAAATAATAAAATTTAAATGTTATGTATGAACAATAAAAATATTTTAGACACTATTCAATTATATTCTTATCATATATATTAAAATTGTAGTCACTTGCACCAACATTTTCATAAAACTAATTGTTATCAATTATAAATGATCAAAATCGTCAAGCATGTTACAATAATTGTCTAATCAAAGTATCAAACCAACATGAGCTTTTATTATTAACTAAAAGTATTAATAGATTTTTTTTTACCAACAATAGATTCTCAAATATGTGTATAACCCTAAAGAAAAACCAACAATAAGACAAGTAAAAATATAACATAATACAATTTTGGGTTATTGAGATTTTTTTTTTAAAGACCAGCTTTCACCAATTCTGATAAGTTATTGATGGATTCACTTTTTACTGGTTTTGGAGGGTTGACTAGTCCATGCCATAGGCCGGTTCCTGGGTAGACACCTAGACAGAGACAGAACTAATAGTAATGATTAAAAGAAAGGGACAATCGTGCTAAAGATCCTAAAAGAAAAAATTGCACTGCAGGTGTTTTGAAAATGCACTACATCTTTGTTGCAATTTTTCTTTAAGGTGAAAGTATAATTTTATTCTTAATCAACTTGACACATATGGACATTTAATTAAAAATTCATGAGCATCATGATATACATTCATGAACATTGTGTTGTATATTGTCTGTATAACTTGTATATGTTTATTAAACCTATTGATCAACTAAGCACGCATGGATATTGTGTTGAAAATTTA